TGAAGCTGATTTGCTCACTTGCACTATAGAGAGCTATTTGGCTCCTAAGCCATACATTGGATGTCAAATCGAATAAAAAAAAATGATTTAGAAATAAAAGAACTGTTAACAGAAAATGAAAATGAAGAGAACAACTTAAGAAAACGCTGTCAAGATTTCTTTATCTCATTATTCAAGCAATTAAAGCAGAGACTTCCTGAAAATACAGATGTATTAAAAAATATTTCACTCTTTTTTTGTGAGCAACATGCCAGTAAAGGACATACTTAAATATTGTAAAGTTATTAAATTTTTAAGGGCTACTGATAATAGTGTGGCGGAAGCAGAATATCAATTAACCAAAATGAACTTGGTTGAATGGACAAACAAAACAGAAACTGAAGCGTTTTGGAGTGAAGTGAGACAATTTAAAGATGCCCGAGTAATCAGTCCATTCTGTAAGCTCTTTGAATGTGCCATGTCTGTCATACTACCACATTCAAATGCTGACGCAGAAGGAGTTTTTTTTAGTGCTATGAATTATATCAAATCTAACTTAAGAAACAGGATAAAACTTGACCTCTTAAATGCTATTTTGACTATAAAATTCGGCCTGATAAAAGTAGGAAAATGCTGTTTAACTTATCAGCTACCTGATTGTGTATTAAAAGAAATTGGAACGGCTAAAGCATACCAGAGTCAATTTGGATCTGAAGCTTTAACTTTATAATCCAAGGTAAGTTTATCCTGTGGGTCTTGTAAGACAGACATCATTGAAGATAAGGAAATAATTATAAAGGTAAGTCGTTTCAATAGCTTTGTCATTTCTGTTTCATTTGGATGTTTTTCTGTCAAAGAAAAGTGGCAACATTGGGTAGCAGTGTTGCCACTTTGGATCTTTTATATCCAAATTTAGATCTTTTTTATTGCATTTAGATACTGTTTTTGACATTTAGATCGTAAATATTTGTCTAGATCTTTTCATATGGAGTTAGATATTTTCTAGATTTTTTTCTTTCATTGTCAATTTAATAATTACTGTGTAAAATATTTATTACAATATTTTTGTTTTGGTCCGGCACGTACATTGTGACAACTGCCATTACTTGAACTTAGAACTCTCACTGGGATCAACGCACAAATATCTGACAGCCCCGGTACTGATTAATAAAAACGCGCCTAAATCATACTAACTTTGTTTCAACCGTATCCTCACTGTGCTGACTTTGCGTTTCTTTTTCATGGGATTTAAAAAAAAAATAATTGTTCACCTTCATATGTGGCTTTTACTTTGAAAAAACCTTTCAACATGCCAAAAGTAAAGTATGAGCAAAAAATTTGGAAAGAGTGGTTGCTTGATGACACAATTTAAAAACTGGGGATATGACCAAATCTTGTTGTAAGTACTGCAAGTGGGAAATTAAAGCGAAAATACAAAACTCAAAGAGTCATGCAGAGACTAAAAAATCATAAAACTTCAGTTTCATTTAAAGATACTACACTGCTGACATCTGTTTTCAGAACTATACTGATAAATGAATCATCAAAAGTTGAAGTATCAATCGCAATGTTTTTAATTTGTCACTGCGCAATTTCAAACTGTGACCATTTCATCGATTTGTAAAAAATCTTGGACTAGTTCAATTTGAAATGTGTGATGTAGAAAGTATAGTTTAGGAACTGAAGGACCTTTTAATCAGCAAACAGTTAGGCTTGAAGAATTTGGCTGTAATTGGTACCAATAATGCCTCAGTGATGGTTGGTATAAACAATGGCGTTTATGCCAAGTTTAAGGAAGTTAACCCATCGTTAATACTTATAAAATGTATGCGTCATTCATTGCAGCTAGCATTATCACATGCTTCATCTAAATATTTACCAAGGAATTTGGAATTCCTTATTGCTGAAACACTTTACTGGTTTTCCAAATAATTTGTCAGACAACAGCAATACAATACATTATATACAGCCTTGAATGATGGTTCCACACCACCGAAAATTCTGTCAGATTGCAAAACTAGATGGTTATCAATTTAACCAGCTGTAGAAAGAATTATGAAGCAATGGCTGAAGTTGAAGACATACTTTGAAATAACAAGACAAAGTGAAAAGTGCTACACAGCTGAAATACTATATGGAATGTACAGTGATGAAAAAAATGTGTAATTCATTCTCTTTTTATAACCTATTCTAATGGAAGTGCAAAAAGTTAATAAACTGTTCGAATCTAAACTTTTTGATAAAGTTAAATTACTTGATGATCTCACCTTGCTATTTCACTCGGTAAAAGACTGGTGTTGCCAACTTCTAAGGCTGATTTGCTCACTTGCACTATAGAGAGCTATTTGGCTCCTAAGCCACACCTTGGATATTAAATCGAATCAAAAATTGATGATTTAAAAACAAAAGGACTGTTAACAGAGAATGAAGAGAACAACTTAAGAAAACTCTGTCAAGATTTCCTTATCTCATTATTGAAGCAATTGAAGCAGAGACTTCCTGAAAATCTAGATGTTTTGAAAAATATTTCACTTTTTTTTCTGTGAGCAACATACTTCAGCCAATAAAGGACATACCTAAATATTGTAAAGTTAAAAAACAGAAACTAAAGCGTTTTGGAGTGAAGTGAGACAATTTAAAGATGCCTCATCAAACATTCCATTCTGTAAGCTCTTTAAAGTGCCATGTCTGCCGTGATACTACCACACGCAAATGCTGACGTAGAAAGAGTTTTCAGTGCTAGGAATTATATTAAATCTAACCTAAAAAACAGGATGAAATTTGACCTTTTAAATGCTATCGTGCCATTAAAATTCGGCCTGATGAGACTAGAGAAATAAGCCTACTGTTCCACTTATAAAGAAATTGAACAGATAAAGCATACCAGGGTCATTTTGGATCTGAAGCTTGAACGTCATTATCCAAGCTAAGTTTATCCTGTGGATCTTGTGAGGCAGATATTAGTGAAGATGAGGACATGAAAGTAAGTCATAACTAAAGCTATATAATTTTTGACTTTTTCAATTTGGATGTTTTTTCTAGATCTTTTCCACGCAGATTTAGATCTCTTTAGATATTTTTTTTACACTGTTTTGGATATTTTTTGTCAAAGAAAAGTGGCAACACTGGGTAGCAGACGCGAACCAGCTGGTCGTAAAACAACCGCTTCAAGAGATGTCGCCTTGTTTTTTTTTAAAAATATGTATTAAAGTAATAATTCAAATAATATTCATATTGCAAAATGACATTTCATTCTGCCCTTTAATTTTTCAAATTAGAAAATGTGGTTGGATTTGAAGACGCCTGAAAAAAGGGACATTTTGCTGTATTGTCCACGTTCAAATCAATCAACGTAAGAGTCTTACTAAGACGACTTAGAAGTAAGAAGGAGGAGGAAAAGAAACCGGGAGATTAAAACGTGAGAAAGCTAAGAAACTTCATATGAGGTAAACTTATACCATCGAATATAGAATAAGAAAATTTATGTTTTGAACAAATGGTAGGTAAAAGCTTTATGATGTGGGTTGCCCACTTGTTTTCTTCGCTGACTTCCCGTTTACATCTGAGCAACCGCTGTCGCTCATTTCTTGTTTATTGTAATGTAAAAACTAGGAGTGGAGTGGTGTTCAATTTATTTGAGGAGGTGGTGGTAGTGATGGTTGTGTGGTCAGCATCCTGCTTGCCATCTTTACTTTCCAGGAGGTAATTGCCTGGTACTCATTTTAGTTTGGGTCAACCTAGGAACTAGCGCCAGTTACTGAGTTTTTAAGGAAATAATTTGTCTTGACGCAGATTCCAAACCCACGACCGGCTATCCTCCAAATAACGGTCCCAAATTGAGGCCGAAAATATACCCTAAGGGCCTCAGTCACATGTAAATTGTGGCCCTCTTTCGGTCAACTATACAGCCACCGCCGAGACTATCTCTCATGCCGCTACTTGCGGCGCGGAGTGGGGCTAAACTAGATGGCTGGGACTCAGTAGCAAATAAAAAGAAGGAAGCTGAAGGAGATGCGGTAGCTGCTGCTCCTGAGTCCCAGCCATTTAGTTTAGCCCCGCTCCGCGCGTAGAGGGAAACTCTTGGCGTTGACTTTTAACTCCTCTGAAGCTTTTCCGCGGTATGCTGTGTAGTCGCTGGAAAGAGGCCCGTTATTTACATGTGAATGAGGCTCTATTAGGATATATTTTCGGCCTCGATAATTTGGGACCATTATTCGGAGGATTGCTCCCCCAAGACCTTTCGGCCAGCAGGCAAATGTTACTGTGGCTTCTATAGGTGAAATTATATTAATCCCTTGGAGAAAAAGCCTATTTGGAGTTTCAGTGCTAAAAAGACAGAACCTTCAGGAGGGTATTCTCTTAATTCACACACACACACACACAAATTATAAAAAATAAAGCATTTAATTAACGAATACATAACTATATATATTTATGTAGGAAATTGGATGAGCTGACAGAATATTTATGAATCAAACTGAAATCTCAACATTTATTCAAATTAACTATTTTTATTTGCATAATTTCTGCTTTTTTTTTTTCCACTTGGGAACAAACATAACTAACCTAAAAATATTGAGGGAAATTTTTTGATTGATGAAGTCTGAATAAGTACTGACATTTGTGTTTTGTGAAGTAAGGCCCATGGATGCCCTTCAGACACTTCTAGCACATGATTCTACTCCTTTTCCTGCTTCCTGCTGTTTGGGATGCTATGACGCAACAGTCATTTTCACCATTGTTGTGCACAGGTAACCCCACACACACACAAATTGAAAATATTACAGAAAACATCAAACTTTCTTAAAAGTTGTCATTGAAGAGCCCTAATGCACAAGAAATGTGAGATACAATCTGATTGGCTGATATGAAAACCTACCAGCTAATCTCAAGACTTGTATTATACAGGGCTGACAGATCGGCCCATTCGTCTTTTTAGCTACTTTGTGCTGGGCCAATAAATCGGCCGCGTCATCTTCAAAGGATTAAAGATGTATTGTTCTTTTGTTTCTGCATTGTAGATGCCTGGAAAAGTTAAAGTACGTATATTAAGTGCAAGGGACTTGCCTGTTATGGACAGAGCCAGTGAGTTGACAGATGCATTTGTAGAGGTAAAATGATTATCTTTAAGTTTCCATTCTAGATTTCTAAGGTATTGGGTTGAATCTATGTTTGGCTAGCTAGCAGCAGTCAGAACGTGGTCGAGCTTTTCATTTTTTTCTCAAAAGGACTTGGATTTTGAAAAATATGGATTGAAGAAATAAGCACTTCCAAGAGAAAACAAAAAGTTTTAGACTGGATTCTATCCATGATACTGAAAAAATTGCATAGTATAGAAGGGAGTTGAGGACTAGACTGTTAACACTATGCTATATATAAGTAAGTAAAGATCCCTTTTCACGCCTTGGATGCATCGGGCATCTAGGTGGGTAATGTGGGCAGCATTACACCCCAGGGAGTGTATTCCATTTACTGTTTCACTCTGTTCATATTTATTGATTAAACATTTACTTTTCTTTAAATATTTCAAAACCAAATTAAAAGATATAGATAAATAAATGTTTAAAAAAAAATTTAATGACCTGTATCATTAAAAAGGAAGAAAAAAAAGGTTATTCTCGAAATTCCAAAACAAAGGACCACTTAGCCAGAAGACAAGCTTGCTAACCACTATGTTACTGTAGCTCAGATAAATATAACAATGAATCAGAATTGTGTGCTGCCTCCTCCAGAGAAGTTGGCTACAGTGAATATTCATTGCTATCTTTGGGAATATTACATGCTGAGACCCCACTCTCTTCCACAGTTTGACCCTCATACCACTGTCTGAAATGCAAGAACATTCTTTTTTTTTTTCCAAACCACCCGCCGTGGGAAATAAACACAGATACATGAAGGATTTGACTGTTGAACCATTTCACTAATCTCTAATTCACAGAGTCACACAGCCTCCAACCGCTTGGAAAAAAGGAACCGGTACTCACTATATCGTGTTTGAAAACAGGTGCCAGTACTCACCACTTAGTGTCTATTACAGTCTTGCTAAAAAATATACACACACAAATTATGCCTAAAATAGGGGCGTTACTTCATACTGGCAGAAGAAAGCACTGGCTTTAATGACAGTTGCAATGCCACAGCAAATTTCCTTTTCTTAACAAAGGAGCAGAAGAAAGCTTTATATTTCATTCTGTTTTTATACTAATAGGTCAAGTTTGGAACTGAAATCTACAAGACGGAAGTTTGCAAAAAGTCCTTGAATCCACAGTGGAACTCTGAATGGTTCAAGTTTGAGGTGTGTGGTGTGTTGTGTTTGTTCTGTTTTTATGATGGATCATTGTTTTAGGGCTGTATTCTAATTGCATAATAGATCATTGTTCCAGGGCTGTGTTCTAATCTATTGATAAATCATTGTTCTCAGGCTGTGTTCTCTTCTTGTGATAGATCATTGTTCTAGGGCTGTGTTCTAATCTCATGATAGATAATTGTTCTAAGGCTGTGTTCTATTCTTGTGATTGATCATTATTCTATGGCTGTATTCTAATCTCATGATAGGTCATTGTTCTAGGGCTGTGTTCTGTTCTCATGATAGATCATTGTTTTAGGGCTGTATTCTAATCTCATGATAGATCATTGTTCTAGGGCTGTATTCTAATCTCATGATAGATCATTGTTTTAGGGCTGTATTCTAATCTCATGATAGATCATTGTTTTAGGGCTGTATTCTAATCTCATGATAGATCATTGTTTTAGGGCTGTATTCAAATCTCATGATAGATCATTGTTTTAGGGCTGTATTCTAATCTCATGATAGATCATTGTTTTAGGGCTGTATTCTAATCTCATGATAGATCATTGTTTTAGGGCTGTATTCTAATCTCATGATAGATCATTGTTCTAGGGCTGCATTCTAATCTCATGATAGATCATTGTTCTAGGGCTGTATTCTAATCTCATGATAGATCATTGTTCTATGGCTGTATTCAAATCTCATGATAGATCATTGTTCTAGGGCTGTATTCTAATCTCATGATAGATCATTGTTCTAGGGCTGCATTCTAATCTCATGATAGATCATTGTTCTAGGGCTGTGTTCTAATCTCATGATAGATCATTGTTCTAGGGCTGTGGTTGTCACTTAGTTGACTCTGGAACCCTCTTGGACAGTTGGTAGATTAGGGAAAAATTATATGGCAGCTGCTGAGATGTTGTTTTATAGATGAATGATGAGAATACCCTGGACAGATATAAAGAGTAATGAGGATGTCTTAAAAGAAACTGACTCATGAGCCACACAATATATTGTTAACAATGAAAGTATTGACCTCCAGTAAACTTGTAAAAAATTTAATTAACAAAGATTGAAAATAAAACATATCTGCTTTATGATCCAACAGTCATAAGACCATGCAGAAGATGGACTAATGATCTTTTCCTGCCTGATGCCGTGAGGCATTCCAGGAGTAGAGAAAAGAAGAAGAAGAAGGCATAAGTGACAGAACTGATGTTTTGGCTAGGATGCTTCATCAGCAAACAAAAGTTAAAAAAAAGTCCTGATACAACTACATAAACAATATTTTTAAAAGCTAAAAATGAAAGTTATTTTTTGTCTGTGTGACCTTAAATTGATAGTTGTTTGTTTAAATTAATTCCATCTCTGTCTGCAGGTTGATGATGAAGAACTGCAGGATGAGCCACTGGATCTAAGGTAACTATTCTGATCAATCAACCAACCAGGTTCAGTCCGATGTTCAAGATCTTTTTTTTTTTTTAACGCAACTGTCAACGGGTGTAAGATATTTTGATTTTTTTTATTCTGACATGTAAATTTCTTTGGTATCATTTGCATTTGGAATACATCTTTTTAGTTTCTTTTTAATGTATGACAGCACCTTTAAAAAGTTGTTTTATGCCTTACATTTTCATTTGTCCGTCTGTCTGTCAGTCTGTGCCAGTTTCTCTGGCTGTCTCCTTTCAGTTGATTAGTTTCTTTTGATATACTATCAGTACTTACCAGTCTAAGACATCACACAGATCTTTGTAGGAATTATGGTTCATTTATGCTGTTTATAATTATTGCGTTCTTTTATATATTTTATTGCTAAACCATTTCGCGCTGCAATGCTGTTAATCCAGCAAAACTGCCCTCTACAAACCCCTGCGAAGCTGTTAAACCGGCATTGCTGCATTAGCCAGTTCCAGACAAGCTTAGTATTGTTATATTGGTTCCGTTTTCACCTGCGCATGTTTAGGAAGGCCAGATTATATTTACTAAAAATAACATGGGGCGGGGGGGGGGGGGGGGGGGGGGGGGGGGGGGGGGGGAGCCTTCTGGCCTCATGGCCATAACAAAGATTGGTCATACCCAAAGCATATGACTATGTGGTGTGATGTAACACATTGTTTCTTTATCCTTTTCTGCATTTTTAAAAATATAGTTTTAAATGTGTTTTTTTTAAACTTATAATTAGATTTGTATAATTATTTAACTTCAACAGGCCTGACATTTTTTGTGGAGTACAGCATATGAGTATGTATATTGTCAAAGACCTACTTCACTGCCGTCATGGCAAGGAAGCCTGTTGGCAGATCCATGACAGAAAAGGTCTCTTCGTAAACACAGTTAACCAACACAGTGAGAGCATACACAACAGTCTTTAATGTAGTTCACAAGTAATCAATGCGGCAGTTCACTTGGGCATAAGTGGTTCGCGTTACTAACCCAGTCATCCACCTGCCCCCTACAGTACCGTACCGGCCTTACAGCTGTGACCAGGGTTTGAACCAACAGACTCCCTTAAAGCTCTTTCCGTCGCTTCTGCCCCTTACACTTGGACGGCGGTGCTTCTGCACGTCTTTGGCCAGTGTGAGTAGACAGACCATGTCATGTAACCAGATCAACCCTTCAAGGACTGCCTCACTAACATCTAGCTAAAAATTTGAATGAATACTGTTATAAATACCCATAATTACATACCTCTTGCTAACACAGACTAACAGATGAATCATTCTAACATCACACTAACATACTAACACGATGCTACCTATCACTAATGTCAGTCAAAATATAAAAACATCTAGCGGTCAAAACAACAAGGTCCTGCCCCAAGTTCGTCTCTCTCTAACTTCCGATCAACTCCAGCCCTGCTCAATACTAAACAAACCTCTCGGGAAAACTCGTTGCTTCGTCGCCTTTGTTCAGTCACAAGTTCACTATTTATCATCATCATTTGCAATCATCCCATAGCCACATGGCATCCTGACATATATGTTGTTTCACAGCACAGTCTCAACATGCCCTTTTGTTCCACTTTAGAGCGCCATATTTATTAAATGTTCTGGAACCTCCACAGAGTGTTGGATTATGACACCTACAGTGCCCATGACACCATTGGTAAAGTCTACATAGACTTGAATCCACTCCTGTCACGTGAGAACTCAAACATTATCAGCGGCTGGTTCCCAATTTATGACACCATGCAAGGTAAGGCACATCTTTGCTTCTTATAAAAGGGAAAGTTAGGAGATGTGCACCAGTGTCATTGCACACGGTTATAAACCATTAGTGCTCTGCCACCAATACAGACAACTGATAAGAAACTGTCCTCTTGTGTCAGCATCCCCACGCAACTCCTTAGCTACAGCAATGTTCATCCATTTACCCCAGAGTGTTAACTCTGGTACCCATTACCTAGAGGCTGGGTGAACCCCGGGAACCACTTCTTTCTTATCCGGCTGTAAATTTTGGTTCTGGTTGTTTGTTCACTTTATGACTTCAGTCTTGTTCCAGAGCTTAAGTTTTGCATGCACATCCATTTTACAGAACTGGCTTACATGCATGGGCGAACTGTTAGTGCCTCATCTCTTAGGCAGATGCACTCTGACTTCAAAGAAAACACCTTTAATTAGTTGCCTGTTTTGACAGGCACGTTAGGGAGGCAGTGAGTGTATTATTAATTTTTCACCCTAAATGGGACTCTGGAACCCACATAAGGAACATCATTGCTGGTTTTTATGAGCTTTGATTCTCTCAGTATGGGCTCTGTGATTTAAAAATATTAGAATAGACCCTCCAATCCTCCACCCACACACATGTAGTAAAAGCCAACCGCAGGAGTAGGAGCCTTATAAATGGCCGGCTGACCCAGCCAGAAAAAGACACCAGAAAATGAAGCCGGCAGGTATGATGTTGAATCTATATAGATATGTGATGCCTGATGCGTATGGGCCCTTGAAAAAGGCTGAAGAGTTCGCACACACGTACATACTCACTGAGTCAGTGAAAATGTTTATGTACATATTGACTGACTCAGTGAATATGTTTATGTACATACTCACTGACTCAATAAATATGTTTATGTACATACTCACTGACTCAGTGAATATGCTTATGTACATACCTAGTGACTCAGTGAAAATGCTTATGTACATACTCAGACTCAGTGAATATGCTTATGTACATACTAACTCAGTGAATATCTTTACGTACATACTGAGTGACTCAATGAATATGCTTATATAGATACTGAGTGACTCAATGAATATACTTATGTACATACTGAGTGACTCGATTAATATGCTTATGTACATACTGAGTGACTCTAATGAAAATGCTTGTGTACATACTCAATGAGTCAGTGAATATACCTGTGTCCAATTTTCAGTGACTCAGTGAATATGCTTACGTACATACATAGGTGGCACTTATTGCAAAAATGAATTCGGCAAAGGGGTAGGATTCTGTATCTCGGTCTAGGTTGATAGACATGGGAGTGGCAACACAGAGCTGTAAGAAATGAACATTTCGCCTAAGTCAGGACGTTTGCTCAGTCAACACAGAACAGTTGTCATCAGTCGTTTTACGCTTGTGGAACTTTTGAAGATGCGATCACCGCATCTGTGGAGCTGTCCGGAGTGATGTGATGATAATCCCCACTAATCACTAATCTTTATTTTTGATTTATGATGTTCATTCTGTACCCTTCTCTTTATCATCATCGTTCTTCATGTGTTGTCTTTTATGTTTCACCATCCCACACAATTACCAGAATCACGGACAAGTATCAGTGTTCTTATCCTTCTCCCCCTTTTCATATAACTACACTTTTCAGGTATCTGGGGCGCTGAGTGGTCTCGGGGCGTGGCATCTGCCTCGAGTGCTGGAGGTCCAGGGTTCCGGCTCCAGTGTAGGTTGGGATTTTTTCACATGACTTCTAGTAATTTTCCCTAGTTTCTGGGTAGTGAGATTGGACGCCCGTTTGTATTGTTGCGCACATAACAAAAATCCCTTAGTAATTGGAAATTGAAAAGTATAGCCTAACGGCTCTGCCCTGGCAACAATTGGAGTTTAAAAATTAACCCAAAGTATTTCAGGATTCTTGCCGGTGCTACAGAGTTTGTGCACTGCGCTGAGATTCTTCAGACTCAGGCTTGAGTTTGAAGTAGAATGGAGCACTTATGGATTACTAACCTTGTGCCATAATATTGACCAATTGCATAAACCATAAAACCATATCTCTTTGCCTTCCCCTTTGCTGTTTTCATCAATCTTTCCGGTTGTTATCCAGTTCTTGAGTCCATTATTTCTCATAACATGTCAAGAGTGGCAAGCTTCACTGGGAAGGTCACGAGCATAGCGAGCATCCCTTGAGGCTTTTCTCCAGGCTATGCCGGCGTGGTGGGGAATGAACAAGTAGACAGATTGGATGGATAAGCACCACTGGGTGGTGAATTGATGCATGACAAGGCAGATGTGGTCAAGGCCCTTTGGGAACAGGCAACGAAGTCAGAAGAGAAACAAAATTATTATGGCTTGGAGAGAATGATGCACCTGGGTGTAACTAGAGGGTCTGGCCAGCTCACTCCACTCAGAGGAAAGGCAGGACGGACATAAAACCAGACTGATACCATTAGTAATGGAACTCTGCGCTGGCTGCTGAAGATGACGTAGCACACATGGGGATGACTCAACTCATAAAATGTCAGAGAATGTGTGTACATTTGATGCTGTCTCCCTCACAGGACTGAGGGGAGAGTTGAACATTCAAGTGCGTGTGGAGCTGTTCAGTGACTTCAACAAGTTCAGGCAGTCATCCTGCGGCATCCAGTTCTTCTGCAGTGAGTAATTATTGAACTTTCTGAATGTGCTCATATTCTGTTTCTGGACACAGTGGCAGTGTAAAGCTGTGTGTATTGGGACCTCACTGTGATACACTTAAAGTTAGTAGGCAGAAGGGAAATAGAAATCATCCCCCTATGGGTTACGGGGCTCCATTTTGGGGAGGTATGTGAAAACATAAACCCCCCCCCCCCCCCCCCTTTTCCAAACCTCAACCCCTTCAAGGATGTCATAATATTCAACTAATTAGGGGTGTTTTCTTCAAAGTCCGGAGTTCATCTGTCTGACAGGTGGAAACCAACAGTCTGCCTACAAATAAGCCACATCTGCAGAATGGTTATTGTACTTTCTATCACACTTCTCCTTGAATATGGAAAGTGCATAAGGTGGGAGAGCTGCTGAGAGACTGAGTTTCTTTCAGGCAAACCGGGATGAGCAGGCAATGTTCTGCAAAGGATGCTACATGATGATAATGATCTCATCACACGGTTAAGGTTTTCATTTGAAATCCCCTCGTAATTGTCAGTAAAACCAACAAATGCACGATCACATATGATGATGTCTTATCAAAAGGTTTTCATTTGAAATCCCCTCAATTGTCAGTTAAACCAACAAATGCACGATGAGTTGCTTAGTACCGAATCAGTTAAGTTGCCGGGGCTAAGAAAAAGGAATACAACATTTGTACACTTTTTTCCAACTAGTTTTGTAACTATTTTAATGAAAATTTGAAATTTGACTGACGGCCAGTTCAACCTACAACGTGTTATTCTAAATAGAATTTCAAAAAGATCGTAAATTGAGTAGACCCTATATAGACTCCTACAGTGCCTTCTTTGTACTTCCAGCTTGTGCGGTTCCATCTGGCTGGCGTGTGCAGAACATCCTGGGCTTCATTGAGGAGCTGGTGGTGAATGATGATCCCGAGTATCATTGGATTGAAAAGATCAGAACCCCGAGAGCTTCTAATGAAGCTAGACAGCGGCTGTTCTTGAAACTCTCAGGTAGACTGTATTGTATCAGGTAGACTGTATTGTATCAGGTAGACTGTATTGTATCAGGTAGACTGTATTGTATCAGGTAGACTGTATTGTATCAGGTAGACTGTATTTTATCAGGTAGACTGTAATGTATCAGGTAGACTGTATTGTACTGTTACAGTTGTGTGCTGAATGCAGAATGGAACAGATAATGGATAAATTAATTAGGAATTTAATCCCTGTACTCTTTACATGTGGCTTAAGAATTGCGAATGGGCTTCACAATGCTAGGGTACAGAGTTTGATCCCAGCTTCAGGAAATTTGGTAGCAGAACGTCATGCGTTGGGTTTGACAGTGGTACCGAGAGTTGACCATTAAGAAAGTTGAGTGTAAAACGTGTCTAGAGAAACCTGCAACAGCCAAGAAATGATCCGGTTAGTTTTGCAATATCCTGTAAAGGAAACACAACTAATTTTTCAACTCTCTACATCCCATACTTTCTCTGCTCCCTTCATCTTCCTCCTCCTCTTCCTTTTTCACTTTCCCTGGCTGTAAACTCCAGTGGGAAAGTCCTGGTTGTTCTTCCACTTCTGGACTTTGGTATTGTTCCAGGACCTGGATTTTTGTGTGCATATCTGTTTTACAGGTCTGGCGTATTTGTGTGCACACTAATGGTTACTCGCCTCTTAGGTCGATGCAGAAAAAATCAATCCTGTCTACACTGGCTGAGCCGGGCCCCTGGCTGGGCATCTCTTTCTCCCATGGAGAGGTGTAGGCAGGTCTAGAACTGTATGAGCCCATTTTCTGGCACAGCACCACGTGTGGTTCAGCACCTCTGATGCAGCATCACATGTGGTTCAGGACCACATCATCCTGTCCCCTTTCTCAGTAGCCAACAAAGAGTTTTTCTGCTTTTTCTTTCCGTTTGGTTTCGTATGCTCAGATCAGACCATCAGGCAGGTTGCCTCTATGAACTCGCATGTCAGTAGCAGGTCCTTCATGGTTCACCATAGCTTGCTCTGCACACTTAGCTCTTAAGGCTAGGGAAAGATTGGTGTCAAAGTCATGGAAATGGGAGGCAACGCAGTTTTAGGGTAGGTCGTTATGTGAGCCACCGTGGCATTGGACATGTAATACCATCTACTAGCCTCTCCAGAATGATAATGCAGGGCTAGATACAGGGGACAAGGAGAAAAATCAGACCAAGAAAAAACCTGGATGCAAAATCTGGCTGATTGGAAGGCCTTAAATATTTAAATATCAAATCTAGTGTATCTAACCGAGATGGAAGGATTAAACCAGATGGTCAGCAGCAGCTGGTGACTGTGTGAAATTATGGGACTATGATAATGATAATGATGGCCTAGCAATTTACATCTGGTGGCAGCCTTATGCATTTACTTTGCATGTGTGTGCTTCTAGATTCTGCTAGGACTCACCTGTTTTTTTTTAACTAGTTCAATGGAACAGTGAAGGGCATTTTGTGGGGTTTCCACACACAGAGGAACAGAGCAGTAATTGGCTGACCTGTTTGCTTGAAGCTGGCTGTGATAAATGACTAATATGTTCAGTTCCTAGCGATGGAGGTTTTTTTTTAACTTGATCTCTTATGGTGACTCAGCATCATAAAGTGGATATGCAAACTTCTCTGTGAAGTCTGTGGTGAGGAAGGGAGCTGATGATCCTGGTTCATAACGTATACATGACATGGAAGTCCCCGTGGCAGAGTGGCTAGATGCGCGCCGCGGATCGGAATTTCGTGGGCTTGCTCCCAGGCGGAGCCGGAATTTTAAAAAAAAAATCACCTTGGCTCCCAGGTCGTCCCAGCCTTGAGTGGATACCAAGAAAAAGATACACGAAGACTGATTTTTTTCCCACACCTATCAGCCATAGTTTTACTGCTGCCTGTTTTATTAAATTTATGAAATAACAATGTATTGTCTACCTATGAGGGTTGAGGACTGGACAAAGAAATAGAAATCAAAATACAGAAAGCCAACAACTTATCAAATAGCCCAACTTTTGAGCATCAAAATATCAACATGCACACACACACAAAAGCAGCTGATAAATGTGTAAGTCACACCGACTGTGTACTTGTCAGATAATTGACAGCCCTAGAAAAAACACAAACACTGAATTACAACATGTGGGATGATTTATATAAGAAATGCAATGAAAAAAAGAAGAGACAGTCATCAAAGAAGAGCTAAGAGGTCCTGGGTAGTTAGCATCCTTTGGATATTTTCTTTGGGTGATGCTGATGTCTTGGGAAATGAGCAGACAGATAGACTGGGTGGTTCTGCACCACTTGGTGGTGAACTGATGTATGACAAGCTGGATGTTGTGAGGATCTTTTGGGAATGAGTGAACAGTGCGGAGGTACAGATAGATCATTATGGTCTGAGGAGAATGGCGCTGTGAGGAGTTACAAGGGGATCTGGCCGACGCTCGGCACTCAGGGGGAAGACAGTTACTGGTACCATCGGAATTTTAACTCTTCGTGCTTCTGAAGATGGGGATGGAAAACTTATGTGCTGATGTTGATTTAACATTCCAGTTTGCGACTGCAAATGTGTGTAGGTTTGCCTGTATTTATCTGTCCACTGTCTTTATGCTCTGCTTCTTGGTCTATTCCCATTTCACTCGTTTATGAACGTAGTTTATATCTTGATGTTATCTGCCACTCTCTCAATTATAATACTTGTCAAAACATTTTCCAGTTATTTCCAGAACTTTGATCTCGAGGGAGAGTCTGGTATTGTTGTGAGAGCTATAGGGACCGCAGTTACTATCACCAAAGTGCAGCTAGGACAGTTGTCGCCATCTGTGGCTCCATCATCTTCCATGTCACCAGTCCGAGAGTGAGTTCTGTGTACTTGTTCATTTGTGTCTTTCCTTTTTTTTACCTTTTTCATGCTGGTTCCAGAACTTGAGTTTTGCATGCACATTCATTTTACAGATCTAGCTTACTTTTATGGATACTGTTTGGTTCCTCTCAGGTAGATGCCCTCTGACTTCGAAGGAATGCCCCTCAATAGAATCCATTTAGTTCATGCTTCTTAGGGTGGCAGGAGGTCTGTATTACCTGCCCCAAACCCCAAAATGGGGTTCTGGAGAAGAAGAATATTTAAAAAGGTCCAGAGCTGGTGTCATCAGTCACTACATGCTGGTTGATTTACTGAGGAAAAGATGTCAGCATGTATGGATTGAATGGTTCAGTGTCCCTATGTGGGTTCTGGCACCCAGTTTGAGAAGAATAAAAGAGGGAGTGGGGGAATTTAGACCTCTCCCAACAAGCATGCCATTGGATTAAAAAAAAAGGTAAAGTCGGGAGATGTGAACCAGCATCATTGCATACGATTATAAACCATCAGTGCTCTGCCACCAGTACGGACAGCTGATAAGAAACTGTCTGCCTGTGTTGCCGTCCTCATGCAATTCCGTAGCTACAGCGATGTTCCTCCATTTACCCCAGAGTTTTAGCTCTGGTACCCATTACCTAGAGGCTGGGTGAACCCCGGGAACCACCTGGTTTCGAACACCAGCCGTGGGCTTCAGCAGCTGGATTTGAAAGTGTAGGATAGAGCTATTCAGCTAAGTTTCCTCAGGGACCAAAATTTTGAAAATGGGGATGATTGGAGACTAGAGACAGTTGGCCATCTTAGCCATATCCAGGGGCCATTTGCTAGGCCTCTGTGAACCAGATTCAGCCAGCAGGCTACCAGTTGTATAGTCCTGCAGTAGAAGGTGACTAGTTGAGATGCAAGGAACCAAAAGTCTGGCTACAAATAAGCCAGTTCTCTATAATGGATGTGCATGCAGCACTCAAGTTCTGGAACAGGACTAAAGTCCAGAAGTGAATGAACAGCCAGAACCTTCTGCCAGAGTTAACAGTCAGTGAACACAAAGGAGAAGAAGAAAAAAGATTCTGTGCTGGCCTCTTCTCAGAATGCGCCCAATAAAACATTATAATTTAAAGTAAAAGTGGTTGACCAAACAGTTCTCTTATTTCTTCACTCATTTTAAATACATCCCATTTTGACTATCTTTGGTTTGCATGTTATTTTTTAGTTTACTAAAAGCTTTAAACAACTTTTTATGTTACTTGCTTTTTACTGGTTCATGTTGAGTTGACTTTTGCAGCTACATTTTTTCTTCACTTTGAGGTAGTCAGTTCTGTGTCAACCCTCCATACTTGCTTTTTTCAATATGCACGGCGAATGATCAGAAACTTAGGAACAGTAGCCAAAACAAAGCTTTTACAGATATTTAATGCTTGCTGGGCAACAGGGAATGGTAGATTGTTTTAAAAGTTAAAAAGTTCTACTGCGACAAGGCGTCCCTCATGGTGGTGTCCTGTCGCCCACACTTTTCCTCTTATTCATCAATGACCTGGTTGCTGAGATACCAAATGGAATCAAAATGGCAATGTATGCCGACGACCTGGTACTGTGGTGAACCAATGAACATGCAACAATAGCCACAAAAACACTACAGCGGGCTACAAATGCACTTGAGGCATGGGCGAATAGATGGTGTGTCAGCATCAACACAGACAAATGTAGCACCACGTTCTTTACCCTGTCCCCAAAGCAAAAAGCGGGCATCATCAAAATAAACGGAATACCCCTAAGAGATGATAAAGAGCCTACATACCTAGGAGTCACATTTGATGACAGGTTGACATGGAGAAAACATATCAACAAGGCAGCAACCAAAGCCAGGAGGAAGACAGCAATACTAAGAAAACTAAGTGGAACCACATGGGGAGCCGATGGGCAAATACTCAATAAAGGATACAAGCAGAGCATACTTCCACACTTGGAATATGGGTCAACTGCATGGTGTTCAGCATCTAGTACCACATTAAAGGAGTTGGACAAAGTGCAAAATCAAGCGCTTAGAGTCATCACAGGAGGGATGAAATCAACCCCCATATTAGAAATGGTGAAAGCTGGGAAAACACAGGCACTGAGAGAACGCAGAGAT